ATAAATTCCTGTCCAATGGTAAAAACAAGTCACATTTGATAAAGGCTCTGACACAACAATTCCATGAGCTCAATATCCCAGTGAAACAAGCCAGTGCAGATGCTGACCTTCTCATTGTACAAACAGGTATTGATTGTGCTGATAATGTGCACAAAGCCATTGTTGTTGGGACTGATGTTGATCTTCTGGTGCTCCTCATCCATTTGTGTGCTTCAGAAAGATTGTACTTCCTTGAAACTGGGGGCGGAAAGACTGCTGATCGTCTATATAACATTTCGTCGTTACGGCAAGCATTGCCAGAGAGCTCCATTTCTGGGTTGCTCTTTCTCCATGCCATGACTGGTTGTGACACTACATCTGCCTTGTACAGACAGGGAATGAATATAAGCTGTCATTTTGTTCACAAAACGACAGGACTTGCAACCACTTGTCAAAGCGTTCCATAATCAATTATCCACAAATGATATGGTTGCGTTTGCAGGAGAGCAGTTCTTACTGGCATTGTATGGAGCACCTAAGTCTGTTAAATCCCTGAATGAGCACAGATATCATTGTTTCACAAGAGCCGTTGCCAAGTGTCCCATTCACACACAAATGCAGTTATCTGCCTTGCCACCTACATCGGCAGCGGCGAGAGAACATTGTCTGACGGTTTATCTGCAAGTGCAGCAATGGCTTGGAAGAAGTCTTCCACCAAATGAATGGGGATGGCAAACTGTTTGTGGCCAGCTCAAGCCAGTAACAACCCGTGACCACCCAGCACCAGAGACATTGATCAACATGATCAAATGCAATTGTAATACAGGGTGTGAGCGTATGTGTGGGTGCAAAAGGCAGGATTGAAATGTTCGCGTATATGTGGATATTGTCACAGGTAGTTGCAGCAATTCAAACACAGTATACCTTGCAGAGGAGGATGAAGAAGACCATGAACTACCATCTGATGAAACATCTCATCAATTGTCTTCCAGCGACGCTGATGAGAGTGAAGTTGAAGATGAGCCACAGCCTTCAACTTCCTCCAGACTGACAAGGAAAAGAAAGAGTTTTTAGATCTTTAATCATACGTGTTTGAAGATGCCTTGTTACATAATCTGTAAATAGTGTTTGATAGACTTGGTATTCTGTAGAATATCAGTTATTTTTAGGTACTGCCAGGTTGAGTTATGATATTTTCTTGAAATTGTGAGTATCCAAGGGCTATAACTCTTTTTAAAGCATGGTAATGGCTACTTAAATGTGTTTTTATGAAATTATAAAATTTCACTTGCTTGATTTTTGGGTGTAAAATATCAAATTATTGCAATTGTTGGGCCATTTACTGAGTTTTTATTGACTTCTAAAAATGCCCAAAAGTTGCATATTTTCAGTTTCAGTCAAAATGATTTTATCAACTCATTAAGCCCGAGAGCCACTTCACTACTCAACACCTGGAACCCCTCGCTGATTGCCCTGCTCGCTGTTGCGAAGCTAATTAGTGCTATTCACACCTGATTTCCCTGGCAGGTTTCGGGGATGACAGGAAACTGTCTAGTCGTACAAACAAGCTCTGATTGTTTAATTGTGTCGTAAAGATACAAGTTAAAAGAAAGCACGTGTGAATACATATCATTATTGCAACGTTTTATGTAATTTTATTGCAAGTTTCTCTTGTAGACCTTTGGCGGCTTGTACATTTATATTTTATCAACATATGTATGCTTTCTTTGTATGTAGGAGATGAGACATACATAAACAAATTCTTTCTCTTATATCATTGTGTGGGGTTTAGTTTTACAAAACATCTATGACAATGACATACTGTAATTTACTTACATGCTATATAATCTTCCACGATATTAGCATTTTGCCGATACATTTCTAGTGTAAACTGAATATTTCAAGGAAAGTACTATTACGCTAGTCTGTGACTTACATAGAGCACATTCATAATTTTGTTTCATCTAGATTTAATGCAAAACATACGTTATCATATGAACATACATATAGAAATTGTATAATACAGATTCTTTGTATACACATAAAACAAAGGGTCACGTGATAGGGCGTCATCAAATTTCCCCAATAGAACGTGCGGTATCTCAATTATTCAATATATTGGCTGATCGTTTGTTGTCTATGACCAATCGTATCATGAGATACCTGTCACAGAGGAAGGGACGGGCGTGGGCGAAATTTCTGAAGACCACGTTTGGTCACTCAACAGCTGGATAGAGATTGATTATTGGCTATGCCGTTGACCAGTCGATATGCTGGGTTTCGGCTTTATCAACTCAATCTATCATGTAACAGTTTATGTATTGTAAACATACATAATCTTAACGATCTATTAAATATACACATAAGACAAATAGGAGTAGATAGATCTCAGAGATCGAAAACACATTTTAGTGGTTTTGATAAGTAAACAAAGTGATTGAAATCCAACCACTGAGTAGAGATAGTATTTATTTTCATATACATTTTACGCACATAACTAGTACATAAAACATAATTTGTTTGCTGTACATGTAAATATAATCTTCACCTTGATACGAATGAATTTCCAAATTAAAGTACACGTATTATAGAATTCAAAAAGTGACACGATACTGAATTATTATAATGTATAAACTTGAAGTTTAATCCCCCCAAATATTTATGAAGATGGGTGTGCCTATATTTATACTGAATGTAAACGAGGTTCATAAGATTACAGATGTGCTTGTATGTATAAACATTAGAAAGAGGGCGTGACTTCATAAAGCAGGTTGTCCAATGATATAACATCACATCTGTTTATTTTACACTTGTCATGGGACAAAACCTTTCAACAAGGGCGTAACTACACATGCATTCTACCGGAGGCTGTTATTTCAAGGTCGAAAGAGGTGTTCGATTATCTCATTACTCTGATTCTAATTGAATGATTATACGCATGTATATTGATACCGTAACTGATATACTATCCAGCTTTTATTGACGATGGATCAAGCATTGATACACGTGATAATTACACCGGATTTGATAATTACAGAGATCAAATACAAATGTTTTACATAATGCTCATGTAAATTGCATAGAAAACTGACAATTCAAATCAACTGAGAACTTTCAACATGAACATGAATACCTTAGTATGGTTTACATGTAATAACTCACTCACTCACTTCTAGCTATGTCTAAGAATCTTTTGAAATACCAACTTACTGTGTTTTGTAACAAACGTAGTAAAAAAATTCATTGTTGTAATAACACTGACATGTATTATATTCGATGCAAAAGCGCGACTTATCACTTTATTATCGATTAGGTAATATTATCAACTTTAGATTATGGAAAATAACTAGTTACAATTCAGTAAGCTTTAAATTAGTAAGTTAAATTATGTCTAATCTATTCGAGCTTGGGTGTATATAATAATAATATATAATTATTTGTGTTTATACATTATGTTTCATTATATGAAACATGACAACGTAATAATACCTGAAAAGTAAATCTAGTCTATTGTATTTGAATTCTTTGTATGTCCTTGAAATTTCGTATTTTGTTACCTATTTATGAGGAAATTGAAGAAAATATAATCTTCAGTAACATCTAAACCATTACATCTAATTCAATGTGCATACGAAGTTTGTTAGTATCTATTCCCAATGAAGAGTACCAGACACTTACCTCTGTAAAAACATCAGAATCCCTTTCTCGCTGACATGTGTTCATTTGCCAAACGCTGTATAAGCCTATGATAGTGATTATCAATTGCTATCAGAACACTTTAAATACTTCTTCTGATTGACACTAAAGGTAGCATCCCTCGTAAGAAAAAATATTTGCTCAGTACTACTAATTTGGTTGAAACAATAGGTACAGTGTGATTTTTAAAAAGTACGACACACATGTGCGTGTCTCGCTGAATAAGAGGTGCTTTCTCTTAACGAATATATGTGGCTCTCGCTGTGAAAAACTGCCAATTATCTGCCCCATAAACACAACTCTCGCTGTCAGGAGCTGATTAATGTGCCCCATATATGCGGCTCCCGGCCTTAATGAGTTGAGTTATATTTGGTGGTTTGTGGTGACAAAGGCATTGAACAATACACTTCAAGGTCTTTTGAATATATCTAAGCCTTATCGTTATACCTATGGGTCTTTGTGTCACCCAAGGGTAAAAACATATAAAAATTCTGTTTTTGCACAAAAAAGGGCCACAACTCCGAAATGTGTTTCTTTTCTTTCTGAAATAATAGTCATCAATCTTATATTTACTCAGTTGTCAAACATTATATACTTATGTACAGAAATAAAGAAGTTGTGAATTTTATAAAGGTCTTCTAGGTTAGCAAAAGGTTGCATAGGGTAGCCATGTTTGCACGTGCACTATGGATATAGCTCAAATGGGATTTTAGGGGACTTTTAGTATGTTATATAGGAAGGTTTGTAGAACATATCTGCCAAGTTTCATTTTTTCACTTTTTTCTACCTTTTGCTAATTTGACTGGCCTACAAGAAAGCAGAGGTAAACACAAGCCCCAAAGGCTTGTACTATAGAATATTTAAAGTGGAACCCGTCTCCGAAGACTACCCTTATCTCTCAAAATCTATACGTAACGCCACTTTTAAGATTCAGAGCAAAACGATATCTAAAACTGCCAATTGAAACAGCCCCATGGCGAGCCATACCTCAAAAGATCGTGTTTGTCACCATTGTAACTCCCCAACTGTCGGTGATGAGTTTCACTACCTACTTCAGTTTATTTTTGTTATTCTCACAACTTTTTCACGGGTATGAATTAAACACAGCATCAAAGTCAGCAAGCCTGACCGAAACTGTTTATTTCCTATAGTAAGGGATCTTCATCCCACTTGAGTTCTTCAAGACCAGCTATAAACCGCATTGTCTCGGAACCTCTCTTAAGTGTACATCTCAATCTGATTTACACATATGACCACTACACACACAAGCACACATTACTCACAGACTCCAAACAAGCCAATAGATACATTCAGAACTCTGCAGAAGTATCATCAAGAAGGCACAATTATAGAACAGTATGTTCAAAATGCTATATGCTACGATAACAAATGAGCTCCTTTCTGGCAGCATCTTGGACTGTTCTCAAACGTAACAATATATTATAGGACAACGTTCTGTAAGCCATGTAAATCAACCTTACAGCTAGTTACATAAAACTGATGGACATCAAGAGTATTACAATTGTCCATGCTTCACAATAAGAATAACATCAGCCATCAACAGTTCAGATTGCCTCCTGACACCAAAGCGTTCAACCGAGGGGAACGACAATAACACTGGCGGATTTTCATTGAGAGATCATTAACGCTCCGAACACGAGTGTGATCATTGTAGCACAAACAATTGAGAACCCCAGACACAATTTGCCCAAGAATGCTGCAACCATCGCCCATGTCGTAATGTTCCTTGTCTCGGAGTAGATGTTGGTCTGTTGTGCTGGACAATTTTGCAAAGCCATGGGGAATTTTATCGTGAGAGGTAAGTTTCTGTAGAAACAATATGATGACGTTGCAGCACACCGTTAGTAGACTGATTAAAACTTGAGCAGATGTCAGTAGCACTGAAACATAATTGGAAAGGCATGACTCAAGTTCAAATACAGTTACATGTATATGAAATGTACGAAATCTTAAGTTGACTTTCGAATAATTCTAGAATCAGTGCTGGCTTTCACAGATGACCAACCAGAAAAATTAAACTCTATTTTTGTTCTATGATCATTTTCGGATTGGAAAGATATTAAAAATAGATTTCTTTTGTATTTTCTGTCGAGAAAGGGTTGATCGAGCTTGATGACAGTCGACAATAAATATAATTTGTCTTATGACATGAAAAACGAGCCGTGACAAAAAAATCTTAAGGGTGATATATGTCTTACCGAACAATGATAGCTGGTTTGACAGCTTTGACAACGTTTCATAGATGAACGACATGAACACAAAGATAGAAAGTAGGGATGTGATGGCCAGGGTGGTCTTCTCCCCGCTGTCTGCAGGAACCAGGAAACTGAGAGGACACAGCAAGGAGAATACCAGGAGCGGTGACACCAGACACAACCAAGGTCGTCCTCCGCCAGAACAACGAAAATGCTAAGCCCTCTTACACTTCATTTTGATGTACGTCATTGAAAGAGAGTCTGTTGAACCCGAGAGTCTGTTATCTCAAACTCCCCATGTTCTATGTATGCATCCAAAGAAATGCCTTTCGTTGAGTAGATTTGTAGGCTAACGTTCGATGTCATCCACGAAGTAATATGCACAGAGCACTTCTGTGTATCAAAGGGAAGTATGTTATGTCAACAGCGCATATACTTGTAACGATGAACCCAGGTTCCCATAAAACATGACCACTGGACTCAATGATCACTAAACTGCTGCCATCACCCATCTTTTGGATGTAATGCTGCAATGAAGAATGGCAGAATTACTTTGATATCAAATGATTTTGTATGCTTTTTGTTTAACGCCGCACTCAGCAATATTTCAGCTATATGGCGGTGGTCTGGAAATAATTCTTTGTTTGCTTGCTTGTTTGTTTAACGACCCACTCTGCAAAAAAAATCGTGTATGGATCAGACAATCCTGTAATTAACATCATGTGCATCGATCTACACAACTGCAAAGCGATGACATGTCAACCAAATCAGCTAGCCTGACCACCAGTATACCGTTTGCAGCCGTTTAGGACAAGCATGGGTTACTGAAGATCAATTCTAAACATGATAATCGCGGGTGGAGTTAAAATTACCATTTATTTACAACAACTTTCTGTGTATGTTTAGAGTGAGCACAATTTGAGTATTCCTCCAGCAACATCACTGCGATGAAAAGCGAGAATGGGATTTCCAGATTGTACTCTTTTGGGAGGATTGAATTGACAAATCACTGATCGAGCGCTCATTTTCTGAAGCAACCTTTAATATAATGCAGACTAATATCAAAGGTAGAAAACACCTCTACCGTTCTGTCCTGGACTATTTGAACACACACGTGTAAACATCTGCAAATATATATAAATTCATTTCAGAACGATTCACTTACTCATTGCCGATGACAAGGTCTGGCTTCCATATTCTATTTTCGGGGCTATATATGTATTCTACGCCATTGTAGTCTGAAGAGTTCCATTGCAGAAATTCGTCAGTCCAATTCTAAAAAGATAAGAGCCACATATAATGACGTAAATAGGGTTCCTTGCCTCTAGGCAGGAGACCTATTGTAATCGTTCGGTTTATTATTATTATGTTTTACAGATTAAAGATAGTATGCAGCGGAGAGGGTTCAGGTGATCCTGGCACAGTCAGGCTGGTAAGGCTCATCATCAGCTCAGGGCCCTCGCCCCCTCTACACGAAGCCCAAACAGCGAATGGGACTTCTCCCAGGAAACACTGCCTAGACGAACCCACCAAGAACTTTCAGGAGAATATGATGGCTCCCCAACACTGCAGCCTTCTGCATTACCCAGAGTGTCAGTAGGGCTGTGCTCCCGGTGGAGAACCCAGGCACTCTCCTGATCTGCGCCAAGAGATCAGGAGGTACCAAACCAAAGGCACCGAGAACAATTGGGAGCCTGACGACAGTGTACTTGGGATGCAAGCGAGACATTTCAAAGGCGAGGTCCACATATTTATCATGCTTTTCCTGAAGCTTGCCAATCACATTGCTGTCAAAGGGACAGAAAACTCAATGATATTAATAAATTCATTGGCTTTATCAAAAGGACAAGAACAGGTTTGTTAGATGGAATTCTTCTGAGTTTGTATATGGGCCTATTTCAAAGAAGTTTAAAAGCATCAATGTCCATGACGCCCAGGACATGCTCAGGGTCGTACCATGGATGGACCTTGAGTCAAAGCCACAGGCATGGCGGAGACGGTATGCCTTAATGTCTTTAAGATATGCTGTTTGTGCCAAGGAAGGGCATCCACTGACAAGGTGTTGGACAGTCTCTGTAAATTCAAAAGGAAGTTTCACTGAAACTTTTTGTTTTTCACAAAAGGGAGTTTCTGTTTCAATTCTAAGACCAGCCGACTTCATCCAGGCGGAGGACTCAGTTCGATTAGTGTTCGGTTCCACACACTGCATGTACGCACGTTGCAAATGGCTTCTCAGAAACCCTGGTTTACTCCCAATCAACAAAATCAACCTCAAATTTCAAATTTTGTCCAAAAACACCGGGACGCTCGAAGCAACTGTGGATTTCCTTGCTTTTATAATGAGTCCTGACATGCATCGCCAAAGGATGATCATGCGATAAATGAATGTGTGCAAAAGGACATAATAAAATTCTATCATGAAGAGCCCACGCATTAATCAGACCCCGCCCTCCAGAATTGATTGGCATATATAAACGATTAAGAGAACTCTGTTATCAGACATAATCCATCTGGTCAGGCAGTCAAGACTTCGGAATAGGAAAGGACTGGTATTGCAAAGCAAAACTGCTGGTGACTTTAACCTTACCACCAGCATTTAGCTCTGAGCTCCAAATTTTCTTTAAGCGAGTCTTATACTCGGCCCGAAGGTCTTGAATTTGGACATTATGGAGCTTGTCTTGAATTTGCATTGCAAGGGTGTAGGCTTAATGTTCCACAAGTTGCCCAATAACTGTTTCCCCCACCCTCTGTAACTTGACCGATCTGTCATTAATTACCATGCCACGTTTCAACTGAAGAGTGTTACAATTTGTCGTACTTGTCTACTAAAGTATAGGTCTCTGGCCCGAATTTTCACGCTGTACGAGAATAATATATCAGTTCATTGAATGTCATTCGGAGCTATAAAATGGGTTCTTCATATCAGATCTCGACACAAACGTTGTTCATAGGTATGCATATAACATTAATTGAACAAAACTGAGTTTTGTCCTAAACATGCAAATAACATTAAATATCGGTAAGTAAATAATGACTACGATTAGAGTAGAATGTTCAAAATAGGCTCAAGAACTTACCATACTAAAATGGCCCAGAGACTTCATGGCTTGCATCTTCATGTCCTAAAAATTAAAGTGAGTGAGTATTGTTTTACGGGGCTGTTAGCAATATACCAGCAATATGCTTCACACTTGGTCCCTTAATCGAACCCGGGTCTTCTAATTCGCAGGTAGCAACAAATCAAATGTGTTAAATACATAATTGTTAACTGTTGCAGTGTCTCGATCTTACCAGATACCCCAGTTGCTTCATCCAGACGACAGCGTTTATCTTCGTCGGAATACTCTGGTTGTAGGTAGGCCGAACATGTACATCGTAGTCGGCAAATATTGTGGCTGTCAAGCGTTTTAGGTCCTCTGACGTGTATGGGGTTACTGTGACGAAATAACACACAGGTGTCAGACTAAAGGTCATCACCTTGACGAACAGGTGTAATTGTTTCAATTCAATTAAACTAAACCAACGAGTGAGTATGGGTTGACGCCGCTTAGATAGAAATATTCCAGAAAAGGTCACCTGGAATGGGCGTGACATTTTGTACCAGCAGTAAGTGAAAGCTTTAGCTAAAGGCTACCCCAGTGTCACTACGCTAGAAGAAGCAGAATTCCTATCTATCTACATGTGTACGTTCAGGGTTACGCTGGTCACAGCTACAGTGAAGCTCGAAGGTTACAGACCAATTCTGTATTAAAACGAACTTGGATTACACCGATACGCTATGAATTGATTATGCCGCCTAGTGGATAGAGCGTCCGCCCAGAGAGCGGAGGGTCGCGGGTTCAATCCCCAGCCGCGTCATACCAAAATACGTTAAAACATGGTACTTGTTGGTCCCTGCCTGGCGCTCGACATTAATGGGTACAACAAGGATTGGTCGGCTCGGAGTCTGTCTGAGTGGGGTATTCATGCTTAACGGTGACATGGTATCTCAGTGAGCTAGAACTATAAACTATAAAACCAGCTAGAGTCTGGGCTAGTACAAGCAGCCGCACATGCACACGCATGTACGTCGTCATATGAGCGAAATATTCTTAAGTACGACCTCGCCTTGAATTGATTACAGTTCTAGTAACGTATAGAGATGCAGTTAGTCTTTCCTGCTTACAGTCGTAAGTATCACACAGATATTTTGGTATAGAATTACATTCTTGTTATTGGTACTGGTACGTATTTCACTCTGATCACAAGTGGATGTAAATCATTGGTATGTTATATATAATTACATCGTAGCAATAGCTTGAATATACACTCATGAAAAAATAGCGCTTTTGTTAGCAATGTTACAAGTTACATCTACATCGATGGTTAGAGCTACATGTGGGCTCCACACAGTGTTACAGAACGTTGCAGATAGTCCAAGCGTTCCAGTGTTATATCTTTATTTGGCGTCACGTTAAATCTTAGCAACATGTTCAAACTACACTGATGAAAAGGTAGCACTTACCTCCAGCGCTGACACATAGCAACATAAACCCCTAAGCAGAACACGAACCATCGTTGAAGTGTACGGTTGAAGCAGCAGAGCACGTTCAGTTCTGTCAGCGTTCTGTTCTGTCCCTCCTCTAGCCCCCAATGCTCACGTTGGCTTCAGTATGAATAATGTATCTTCTTCTGAATGCCATTGAATGTCACAGTATAAGTCAGTGGATGTTTCCTTATTAATAACGACAAAATGCATTCCCACAATTGTCAGACGTTTTCATTTTACAGCCCCAGTTATCATTAGCACGTATTCAGGAATCTTTTCCCTGTTCTGATGCAGCTGCACACACACTACCACGGCACTGTGTAAGTAAATGACCAATTACATATGAACGGAAGTATCTGTGCATATCATAAATTTGCATAAAATTAAAGTTATTCACGTTTATGAACTCACTAACGTTTTGAATGCTTTTGACACCTGAAGTTGACACACCTGACATTGAAAATTGAAGAACGGTTGTTTATTCTCTTGCCTCTGAATGTTGTGGAAAGCAAGTTATTTTCAACTTAAAGTGCGCGTTCTTCATGCCAGTGGGGGGCGGTGGGGTAGCCTAGTGGTTAAAGCGTTGGCTCGTCACGCCGAAGACCCGGGTTCGAATCCCCACATGGGTACAATGTGTGAAGCCCATGTGTGGTGTCCCCCGCCGTGATGTTGCTGGAATATTGCTAAAAGCGGCGTAAAACCAAACTCAGTCAGTCATGCCAGTGTCTACGCGCCGTGGGTATGCCGGAGACTGGAATTTCAAAAAATGAAGTGGCCAGACATGTTGGTGTTCATCGAAACAATAACATCTGTGTGGGGACATTTTCAGTATAATGGGAACACGAGAGATTTGCACAATAATGATATGAATAATAGTGTTGTTGTAAATACACAGGTCATTGTGGTCAGTAATGGCATACTTTTACGCAAGAGTCAGTGGGTCTAGTTTTACGCCGCTTTTAGCAACATTCCAGCAATATCCAGCTGGGGACACCAGAAATGGGTTTCGCACATTGCACCCATGTTGGGAATCGAACCCGGGTCTTCGGCGTGAAGACGAACGCTTTAACCACTAGGCTACCCCACCGTCTGTCAATAAGCTTAGATGGCCATAGCATATAGGTTACTGGTAATTCAAGCAGGACAGCCTTACCAGGAATAACGAGTGGCGCGTCAGAGAAGCTGTACGACATACAGTATGCCATTACTTATCTGCTTATCAAATTACAAAGCCTGTGGAGTATTCATAGTCCTATCGCTATCACCTTATGCGCTATCGATCTTCATTTCATTATCAGGTTTATCTGTTTTAATGGACGAGAGATCAACTTGTGTACTAATATAATGTAACAGATACCACAGCGGGTGTTCCCATAGCTCCAATCCGAGATTAATGAGATGGGAGCTGGGACATTTTCGTCTATTCTTTTAGTACTTGTCTTTGAACTTCGTGTATAATTTGGATGCAAATGACTATTTAGTGTTTCTGTATTCACGTTTGACAATGACCTGGAGAGGATAGGGCAAGAGTTACAGGATAGAGATATCTCATGTGTCATGTGGAGTATGAGACAGATATGTGATTTAATAATCTGATATGAATCAATATTTGTGCAAATATAGGTACAATAGTAAATCTGGATAAAAGTTTAACATAAAGTTTAACGGTAATGGTTTATTTCGTAACACCTGTTGGTATTTGGCTATTTTTATCAGCCATCTTTTGTCTGCTTTGGATAAATCTGGCTATGGAAACGTTGTTTCGCCCATTCTTTACACACGATCCCGACACCTCAACCTCGCTGGATCACTAGCCGGCGCTTTAACCAACTCGCCCACCACGCGAGTGGTTGTATATTGTGTACATAAATGAATAACAAATCATCACTATCTTATATTAGGATATTATGTATTTAAGTTGCAATTCGTTGTCAGTTCAGCTGCCTCTTGTCTTTGTGTTTCAGTGAGTGAGTGAGTTTAGATTTACGCCGCACTCAGCAATATTCCAGCTATATGGCGGCGGTCTGTAAATAATCGAGTCTGGACCAGACAATCCAGTGATCAACATCATGAGCATCGATCTGCGCGATTGGGAACCGATGACATGTGTCAACCAAGTCAGCGAGCCTGACCACCCGATCCCGTTAGTCGCCTCTTACGACAAGCATGGGTTACTGAAGATACATTCTAACCCGGACCTTCACGGGTCTCTTTGTGTTTCATGTACAGTTCTGTGTCACAGTTTGGTCAGAATCAAAGGTTAGTTATTATACATTTTAATTGTTACATACATTGTAAATTAAACCCTAGCATTAATCATTACACAAAATAGGTATAAATATGCCCATGACAAACAAAATAAAAGTCAATACATAGTATACCATTTAACTTGTATGAATGTGCTTATGGTTTGTTTTCTATATGTCTAGTCAATATGCTGGCTAGTAGTTCTTGTTTGGTAACTATTTTCTGTATCATGTAAGATTGATTTATCTCATCTATCATGTATATTGTGTGTACTTGACAAAGATTACATTTGATCAGTGTGTGGTACCTATATAGGGTTATTGCATGCGTTGACTGTTCGGCTGCTGGATGTGCAGACACACTCTCGTGTCACCCACAGGATAGGTTTCTTTGTACAGTATCTATTGTCTATTTCATTATTATACCATGTATTATTATAAGTCTTTATGTCAACACTCATTTTGTATATCACTCTAAACATGTGATCACGTAAGTCACCTGTGTTATATTGCATCGCGTAATACCTGTATATGATTGTTGATAGGCACATTTATGCACTATATTTATTATGATGACATGTTCATCAGATGTGGTTTTATGTTGTGTATATTGTGTATATTATTGTTATTACGGGGTGTCTTCTTCCACCACGATATGGAAATAAACAGATATCTCACTCAAAACCCGTAGTCTGTGGTTAATAAGATATTGAAACTCCACTTTATCATGGCTGCCACAGGAACACAACTATTAGCGATACAAATGTATTTCTATTTCTTGGATCTTGGAGACGAAAGAATCATGTAAGACAGGGTGTTTTGTAGTCAGGCGGGAGCGGAAGAAAATCTATTAATTAATATTTTATGGCCTAAACTAGCGAATACGGTGTCGAGTAAAACATCAGACATGCTCATTTTAGCATTAAAAGGTTAAAAAAAATCTGCTTTGGGACAATGATAAATCATTTAAAGTCACAATTTTTCAACCATTAAAACAATAATCAACTGTTGCAGAGTGTGTAAAATTGTAAAATAACCAATCCAATAATTTCAGGCTTTAAAAATATTTTATGCTGATTTGCATGAGTGAAAACAAGTAAAACGTGTCTTTGATATTGTGAAACAAATGTTTAGGAACATCTAAAATTATCTTTGTGCTTGCAAAGGAACATTTTTCCATTTTCTGTTTACACATAGCAATGTCAATCGCCAAAACGCAGCAATATTCAAGCGGTATTTGCAAACATTTCATATGTAGAATGACATGTAGGGTATGAGCAGAGCCTAGAATACATGATATGGTACACAAGTACGAGAAATATGCCACGATTAACAGCTGAAGAGAGAGAAAG